AGCAGAGTTTAGAAGGACCCGAAACAGAAAACACGGGATGAAACTCTACTCCTGTTAAAAAAAAGCGAACCTATCTACTCCTATTACATATCTGTTCCCATTACCTATTTAATCCTTGCCTTCAGTATGTCCTGTGGGTATTATATTCTCTAAGTATCTATTTTTCATTATGTGTGCAAGAAATGTTAACTGCATTTTTCAAATCCTAAGCAAAACTGTTCTTTTTGTTCACATAATTTTTCGTTGCTCTCAGCCCCTGACCAAGGTATCCTCAGCATCTGTTTGCAGAACGACATCTCTGTTTCCTCAGGTTTCTTCTTCATCTGAGAGGAAATTGTGCAGCGTTCATTGTCATAGAGGCAGATTGATTAAATAAGCATTGAACACACTTATCTTTGTTTCCAACGAAATTGTCCCGTTTCCTGCTTTCAAGAACACCCAAAGCGATTATGGAAAAATGATAAGAACTAGATCAATTAAGAGGAGATTCGGAAATGCAGTTCTGAGAAGCATATTTAAGGTTCATTCAGGACGTGTGTGATCATGACTTTCCATAACTTCCCTTTTTTCGTTGCTTTAAGTAACTTCATTTAACCCGCGTCTTTGTCATTATGCTTCTTCTGCCGTCCATTTTCTCTGATAATTTAAATAGTTTGCCAGCAGTTTTCCTGCTTCTCTTTTCTTTAAAACGCCATGCTAGTGTTAAATTCGCCAAGCATTTATTCCAACATATCAACATTAGCTTTCTGATTATCTCCAGCAGTTTCTCGTAGTTGTTATTCTCAGTTGTTCTTAAAACCTCTCACAGACTTTGTCCATGTTATTATATGTAACTCCACAAATTCGGTTAAACGTAAGATTTAAAATGGATTTTTAAAAAAATGAAAACTCTTTCTTGGGGCTTTCACTTTAACTTTAAATGAAAGCTAAGGATTAAATTTACTATAACCAGTAAACAAAATACGTTGGTGTATTTCAGACAGAAATTATATTGATTGAAATAGACTTGCATTTTTTTTTAGTAAAATCGATAACGTCAGACATTTTTTAGACATTTGTAAACAAAAGTTAATTTTCCGTTTTAAAATTGTTGCAATAAGCTTTAAAATATATGATCAGTAAATATAATTTTGCTTAATACAATATTCCCTAATAATTATTCAAAATTTTAATAAATTATTTAATTTTAAATTGTAAAAAATTGTAAAAAATAAAAACAAATCTTGTAAAAATTAGTTTTTCATCGACAGATTGTCTTTAATATATTGTATAAAGACTATATTGTCTTTAATATATATTATTCATAAAAGCAATTAAAAGCTTCTGTAATTAAATAATGTCTGATTTTTATTGCGCTTTTTTTGATTCAGAACAGATTTTCGGTAAGACTAGATCCGATTTTGCAAAAAAATTAAAAATAAAAATAAAAAAAATAAGTCATTTAAATTCTTAAAAAATCTGCTTTTAACTAATATAGTCAGTAAAAATTATCTCAATGAATTTCTCAAGCTTTCATAAAATTAAGTAAGGTGAGACACATATGTAAAATAAAATATATTTTTATCAAGATTTTCTAATAAAAATATCCTAAATAATTTCTTTCGTTTGTGAAAAATTTCATTAAAATCTAACAATTATTTGATTTTTGCAAAAGTTTCCAAATTAATGTGTCTGTCTATGCAAAAAAAGAGGCCAAAATTTGCTCTGCTAAAAGTTAGTACAACCGTTGACGCAAGAAAAACAAGTTTTTTAATCAAAATTTTAAATGTTCTAAAAAGGAGGAAAAGATTTAATTAAATAATTAAAAAAAATGACCCATTCTCTTAATAATAAGATAAAGATTTTGACGGGAAGGTCTCATCATTTTCCAGTTGATATGGCTAGAAGTAACCATAAGTTCTATGCTAACAGTTTCTTCTGTCGCACTTCTCGCTTGTGGAACTCTCTTCCGATTTATTGCTTCCCAGTCAACGTTGATGTTCAAAAATTTAAATGTAATGTCAATCGTTGTCTTCCGTCTTCTTAATTCTTGTTCTTTTATTGTCCTCTTTCCTTAATAGTAGTTTTTCTCACATTATTTATTACTCATGCATCCTATTGGCTTTATTACCTTGCTTGGGCTGAACTGATTAAAAAAAAGAATTAACAGAACAGAAAATGTAATCTTTGACAATATGCATAAATTCTAAAAATTAACAATTAGAATAAAGAAAAGACACTACAATGACCGAACAAAGACATATGTAACCGTAAGTTCTATGCTAGCAGTTTCTTCTATCGCACTTCTCGCTTGTGAAAGATTTTTCGGCTTCTTGCTTTCCAATAAACTTTGAGCTTCAAAAATTTAAATGCTATGTCAATCGTTATTTTCTGTCTTTTTAATTCCTGCTCTTTTATTGTTTTCCCAAAGAAAATTAGCAATACAGTTTTAATTTAAATTGATTTATGAAGAATCTGTTTTTTTTTTTTTGTTTTTTTTTAGAATGGCCGCTAATGGCTGATTTAACTCCTTTGACGGAGAGAAAAAGAAAGGATTATCCACTCCTTTTTAAAAGTTAAGCAATTTAGCATCAAGTTTAAAATATCAAATAACAAAGACTTGATTTCGACATGGAAGTCATGTGATTGGTGTTTGTAGCTTTTTAAAAACAAAGATTGTAAATAAAAATATAATTTCTAAATTACTCTTCTGTTAACTTGGAGTGCGACCCTGCATGGGGTATTAGTGCGTTCGACTTCAATAGTGCGCCCGGGTGCACCGGTTGAGAAACGCTGGTCTAGACGTTGGAACTAATGGGTTCAGCTCATCAGTACATTTGCTATGGAAATAACGCTAAAATAGCTAGAGGCTTGTGACGGTTCCTCTGTAGGAAAGCAGTTGCGGAGTAACCAATAAGATTGGTTTTGGACCCTGTCAAGGTTGGAAAGGGATGATTGGGTAACTCCAGCCCAGATATGGCATCAGTACCCCAGTTGTGGTCTGATCTAGTTTTGTAAAGCCAGAGCATAGTAGGAGGAATCAGATACTTTCGTGAGTTTTACAAGGAACTGACCATTTTTACACACAACTTTAGCGATGGATTGTATATATCTAAGATGATAAAATTGAAAGACCAAAACATATCTAAAGTGTTTTGTCCCTGACAAGTTCTCCTTCCAACTAAAATGCTATGTTCAATTTTCTTTTCTCCTTTACTAAATTTATCTTAACTAATCTATCCACTGAAGTGATTAGCATTTATTAATTCTCCACTCGAAATTTTCATGGTGGATTCATGGTAGATGTCTTCATGGCTTTCATTTCAATTCCAGATCATAGTTTCTGTTTTGGAAAGGTTTATCTTGAGCCCTACTTCTTGAAGCTCGTCCTGGGTATGACGATAAACTACATCCGGTAGCAAGGCCTCTGATCGGGAGATTGGCGGTTTTGAGGAGTGTGAAATTACCTCTTAACTGCTGTTGTTCCCAGGTCCACCCTGATCATAACCCAAGATGGTATCACCTATTAGGGTCCCACGGCAAATAGTGATCCCTCAAACAAAAATCAACAGTACATTTTTTTTAAATAAAATATCCAAAAATACATTTTTTATAGAAAAATGACAATGTAACACTAAGAAAAATATAAAAATAAATTTTTATAGTAAAATTAACAACAATATATTTTATGATCTACAAACTATATATCTAAAAAAACATACCTTTATTCTGAATGTATAAAATTTTGTACAAAAAATATGTTGTCAAAACATATGGGTGTTGAATAACCCATAGAGGTTGATATGCCGCTAAACAAAATTGACCAACAAACAATACCTATTTATACTAAATTACCAAAAATACATATTTCAAGCAAAATGACCAACAATACATTTTATCTGTAGTTGAAGGCATACAATTGCGTTCAAAATATATTTAGTTGAAGCCATAAACTTGTGTTCAAAATATTTAGATTTCGGCATTAAATAACCCACAGTGTTAGTGATATGCCGCTAAACGAAATCAACCAACCAAAAAATCAACATGAAAGAACTCTTTCATGACATTAATCCATATAATATCCTTAAAGAAATCAAACCGTATTCCAAAATATAACTTCAACAAAACTACAACATAAAACACACATATCACCGCCTCTAGTAATTATATCCACAGAAACATGCATATGCACAAAAGCTGAGTATCATCTACCATGTATTCAACTGTGAAAGCAGAATAACATATATAATATTTTTTTATTACTTTAAAACTCCCATGAAAATTAGATTTCGGCATTAGATGAGCCATAAGATGAGATATGTTGTAAGACAATTAAATTAATGAATTAATCATTTAAACCAAGTAATTTGCTAAGGTGAAAATATATATAAAGATAATTGATTTCTGAGTCTTCCACTGTAAATTTGCGTCCAGGTTAATATTTTGTTTTTGTAGCATCTAACGGTATTGGAAAAAAGCTCCCCCTAGCACGGATTATGTTCAGTTTTCTTTTCTCTATTAAATTTACTTTAACTGATCTATCTACTAAGGTATTTGAAGTGTTTAGCATTTAAGGTATTTGAAGTGTTTAGCATTTAAAGTATTTGAAGTGTTTAGCATTTAAGGTATTTGAAGTGTTTAGCATTTATTAATTACCTATTCGGAATTTTCCTGGTGGATTCAGGGTAGATGCCATCATTGCTTTCATTCCAAATCCAGATCATAGTTTATGTTTTGGAATGGTTTATTAGTGCGCCCTGAAAGGTAACCAGATGCACCATCCTGTTTTGTTATTTCTGCAATCAAATGACATGTTTATAATTAAAATTGGCAAAACAAAATGCGAAATTAATTATCACAATATTTGCCGGGTGAAAATCATTGTTATTATAGGATCTTAAAGCTTGAAACAAGCTGGGCAACGAGAATAATTCAAATGTGCGTTCTCTGTCGATGCAATTTAATTTGCAAACAATTTAAGTGAAGCTTGCATAAAATTGCATAGAAACAGTAACATCTGTTTATTTATGTATAAATATCAGCACAGTCATAAAAATTTGTTGAAATTGCTGTCCGATAATGAGAGGGATAGAGATAGACAGAGAGAGTGGAAGACAAGTCAAGTGAAAGAGGAGGAGGAAGAGGAGGGGAGAGAGAGACAGACATGCCGACTGTGAGGGAAGGAGAGAGGGCCAGACACACCGAATGAGAGGGAAGGAGAGAGGGGGAGACAGACACAGAAGGAGAGAGAAGGAGAGAAAGAGACAGATACACCCAAAGAGGGTTAGATAGATAGAGAGATAGATAGATAGATAGATAGATAGAGAGAGAGACATAGAGAGAGAAATAAAAATGAGAGAGTGGGACAAAAAGACATGAAGATAATCAGAGAAAGAGAAAGCAGGAGAGAGAAACAAAGACAGCCAGTGAGGGAGATAGACAGAGCTGAGTGTGAGATAGATAGATAGATAGATAGATAGATAGATAGATAGATAGAGAGAGAGAGAGAGAGAGAGAGAGAGAGAGAGAGAGAGCGTGACATGTAAAAGGAAGGGAGAGAGAGAAAAAAGAGAGAAAATATGCAGACATATCGAGTGAGAGGGAAGGAGAGAGTAAGAGAGAGGTAGACAGGTAGACAGGCAGACAGACGGAGAGATAGATAGACAGATAGACAGGCACAGAGAAGAGAGAGACAGGTAAACAGACAGATAGACCCAAGAGAGAGAGAGAGAGAGAGAGAGAGAGAGAGAGAGAGAGAGAGAAATGAAAGACAGACAGAAAGACAAACAGAGAGAGTGGATGTCAGAAACAGACAGACAGACAATAAGGGTTACAAACAGTGACAAAGAGTGAGAGAGAGAGAGAGAGAGATCGACTAGCACACACAGCCAGTCAGACAGATACAGAGTGGGAGACAGACAGATAGGGGAGAGACAAGGCGGACAGAGAGAAATAGAGGGCGGGAGACAGAGACTGAGAGATTGGAAGATACATAGAGATCGTGAGAGATAGGAAAATATATAGAGAGAGACAAGAACACAGAGATCGTGAGAGATAGACAAACATAGATGAGAGAGACTAACAAAGAAAGAGAGGGTGAGAAAAGAGTGAGAGAGAGAGAGAGAAGTGAGACAGATGAACTGCAGATGGGGAGAGAGACAGACAGACACAGAAAGATCAATATAGACTGTTATACAGAGAGAGAGAGAGAGAGAGAGGAAGAGAGAGACAGAGTCAGAGAGAGGCAAATATACACACGCAGGGCGTATGATAAATAGATTGACAAACAGAGGGAGCGAAACACAAAGAAAAGCAGAATAAGATGCAGACACACACACACACACACACACACACACACACACAGAGAGAGAGAGAGAGAGAGAAAGAGAGAGAAGATTATATATATAATATATATATATAAACTTCCTCTCTCTATCATATATATATATATATATATATATATATATATATATATATATATATATATATAATATAACGAAAGAATGAGTTAGATATATTTAGAGAGAGTCAGACAGACACAGAGAATGAGAGAGATTGACAAAGTGAAGGAGTGAAACAGATAGAGAGATATACAAAAAGAACCAGAGAAATATACACAGTGAGTGATAGGACGATAGAAACATATACGATAAGGGAGCGACAATCAGAGAGAGAGAGAGAGAGAGAGAGAGAGAGAGAGAGAGAGAGAGAGAGAGAGCGTGCGTGTTTTGTTTCACAGATTTCTTGGTTCTTTCATTTTCATTTCGGTAAGCAGAAGAAAAAGAAAGAAGTGAAAAAAAGTAACATTCTTTTAATACAATGCGACTGTGTATTTGCTTTTTGGCTACGTTTTTTTTTGTCTACTAAACGTGCGTGTTTCTCTCCGAAGCCAGACTTTCTTTTTGAGCTCTTCGTCTGCAACTGACTGTGACGGTATAAGCAATGAACCATCCCACTGTTTTGGAATATATTAAGAGAAAATATCAATAGAATAAGTACCCATAATAACGTAACATATGTTTGATTTTTTAATATCCTTATGAATTACGAAATTCAAATGACTAAAAGAAAGCGCGAAACATATATACATTTCAAATACCCAGTTTGATGATGTATATTTTTTCCAGTACTAATGAAATGAAAACAACAAGTAAAACAATAAAATAAAAATAATAAAATAAAAACAATAAAATAAAAATAATAAAATAAAACAATAAAAATATAAATATAAATATCGTTTATATATCGACAAAATCTAGAAACGAATATGCAATGTGATAGGTCCTGATCTGGCATCTCGTCTACAGTCGCTTTCTCACAGACGTGATGTGGCTTCCCTCTGTCTCTTCTACAAGTATTTTCACGGCAACTGTCCCGATGAACTACTTGCACGGGTTCCCAGACTGCATGAATTTAAAGTAGCTACCAGGCTGGAATCTCGGTCCCACCCTTTCATTGACAAAACGGTTAAATGTAACCGTCTCTTCTATTAAAACAGCTTCTTCTCGCGCACTTCTCGCATGTGGAACTCCCTTCTCCTGGCTTGCTTCCTCGATGACTATAATCTTTAAATATTCAAGTGTAATATCAATCGACATCTGACACCCTGATCTTATCCTCCGTCCTTCTCTGTATACTTTCCTCAAAAACGCCTCTTTACTCTTGTCCCCAGTCCTCTGTAACCCCTTGCGTGTAGTGGCACTCCCGCCTTACTTGGAATGAATTGCTTCAAAAAATATATTTTCCTATTGTAGCAATTTCCTCTTATATCGCTTAGCCGTTTCTGTTGTTTTTTGTCAATGTTAATTGTAACAGTAATATAAGCCGTTTTCTCATAAGGAAACATTTGACAATCCTTGATCGAGCAGCCAGTGCTACGTTCAGTTGAAATTTAGCTTTTTTCAATTAAAACTATTTAAAAACAAATATTCTTGTTTTTTAAGTTTACAAACTATTTATCGTTCTTTCCAGTATTGATGGGGGCTTACTTGCTAACTTTTTGTTTGAAGTAGTGTTGAACATCAACATGGATATTCACCTGAGGAAGGCCGGAGGGCACAACAGCCGAAACGTTGTGATAATAACAACGAAGATGAAGATAATGGTTAGAATATAAATAGTGTAAATGAAATCAACATCTTGATTATGTCATTCTTTTTCTCTTCTAGTTAAATATGACACTCGTTTTAGTTGTTGCTGTTGTTGAAAATCAAAAGTAATATTGTTTCTGTCTTCTTGTACAGTTTGTTTTGTTGATGATACTGTAGCGCCAATTTGCGATATTCGAAGAAGGATGATCCTCGCTAAGACCTAAATGCTTCATTCGCTCGAAGCAATTTCAACCATTGATCTGAGAACGCGCTTGTATACAGCTAACAGATTCAATAATTCTGAACAGGTTTGGCACCATGCATAGCATCCATATGAAAATTTGTATCAGACATGGCCGTTTAATAACACGACACACGTTCTTAAGTTAATGTATTGCTTTTGCAATAATTTCTGGTGTTGGACGAAACTATCTCTAGTGCAGCCTATTCTATGTTCAATTTTCTACACTAAATTTATAACTGATGTATACACTGAGGTATTTGTTTAATATTTACTAATTCTACATACAGAATTTTTAAAATGGATCCAGGACACGTGTCTTCCTTGGTTGAATAGAGGCAACCTGTCCCGATATTAGGCTAGTTTAGGTTTAGTTTGAATCTTTAGTTTCCTTTTTCCGGTTAACTTAGCTAGGGTATGTATGCTCATTGGCCCCTTTTATTTCTGTCCCTATTTTTCTTTTGTTTAATTCCCCATCCCCTCCCTCATTAGGTGGTCAGTGATGTCAGTTCTCTGGTTGTTGCGGGATGACTTTCGTTTCGCGTGGGTGTTTCGTATTTGTTGTTGTGACTGAATGAGTGCGTGTTTGTGTGAGTGTTTTGGATTGATGATTGTTTTTATACTATTATAATCCCGCATTTCCTTTCGTCCAGTTAACTGACGTTTCTGTCACATTTAGGGATTGTGGAGGGGGTATTACTAACCTTATTTTGTTTTGTTTAGTTTTCATGTAAATAGTATTAATACATATTGTAAATATTCATTGGGGTTTTTAAATTGTTGTTTTATTCCTCTCCCCTAACAGACTTTGAAATGTACATATGGGGACTAGTTAGGATTTCATAGAGACATTGAGGTATTATGGTGGATGTAGTAAGTAAGGTAGGAGAGAATGTGTTGCTTTGGTGTTAGGACTATTGTTGGTATGTTTGGGTCAGTGTTTGTGGCTAGCTATGTTTAGAATTAAGACCGTCCTTTTCCCCAATCCCCTTTTTGGCCTTGTGTCACATTTTGTACCATCGTACAAATAAATATCGATCCAAGACACGTGTCATTACAGTTTTCAGTCGTTGGGCAGTCACTGACAGTGTGCGACTTCTGTCGAATTCTCTGCTTTGTCAGAGAGAAACCCCGACGAAGCTTTGCCGTAGGGCAAAGTTTCGTCCGGGGAGGTAAACAGATCCCGAACCCACTTATGCGGGTTCAAAGGGAATATTTTTGACCGAGCCTACTGGCTCGGAGTAACCCACGTTAAACTCGGCCCTGTGCCACATACTTTCCTCGTGGGGGGGGACTGTTAAATATCGTCATTACAGTTTTCATTCCAATTCCAGATCTTAGTTTGTTTCGAAAAGTTTACCGTAAGTCCTATTTCTTCTAGTACTTGGTAGAGGATGTCAATTTCAAGATCCTTCTCATCCGAACCATGAAAACCTATTTCATCTGTATAGCTCCTGTCACCATCACTACATCGGCTTCGTTAGGGAAAGTAGGAACGTTGTCTTTTATTAGTAATTTTTTTGGATGTGGAAAAGAATTCTTAAATTATTAGTGCCCATCTCTTCCCATCTGTCCTTGTATATGCGCAGAGAATAGCATCTGAAGACACTAAATAGAATGGAGCTCTCATTTCCTCCCTGCCGTATTCTTGAAAAGGATTCAAATGTTTCGAAATTTGGGTCCTCGTCGGACATTTACGATTCTCAGAACCGAATTTGTTCCTCTATGAGATCTAACCATTCAGCAAAATGAGAGTTGGTTTCTAATAAATGAAAAGAGGAAGTCTCATATGCTGCCGTGAGGTCAACATAATAGGTACACGACTTTCTTTTGGTGAAGTTGTTTTTTGACATATAAAGTCCTGGGCATGACGATAAATTACATCCGGCAGCAAAACTCTGATCCGAAGATTGGAGGTTTTGAAGAGCTTGGAACCACCTCTTAATTACTGTTCTTCACAGATTCATCCTGACCAGGGGTGTTAGCATCTATTAGAGGAAGATGTGCTTTAACATTGTATATAGCTTATTAAAATTAAATAAGCAATTTGAATTTTAACAGATAATTATCAAGTCTATAGTTCTCAGTCTCTCTCTCTCTTACACTTTCTCTCTCTCCCTCACTCATACAACTGAGTCTATAAACATTTAGTTGGTTCAGGTGATGGGTAAAACTTTCTTCTTTATACAGGGTGACCCAAAAAGAACGGGATTTTTTGAAGTGCGTATTGCTAGACAGGAGCAAGTGGCAACACTACGAGACAGTGACCTTGAGCAAGTAAACATTTTACCATTTAGAATTCAAGATGAAATTCACAGTATCCCAGCTGAGATGTTGCAGCAGTCAATGAGGAATCTCAACAGCGGATTTCAAGAATGCATTCGTACAGGAGGACGCCATCTACAGGACGTAATTTAAAAAAAATAAAAATTCCAACATTGTTTCTTAAATAGCATATTTTAAGGTTTCAATAACCATGAATAAAATATTTTTCTTCCATCACTCTTGGTTTTTATTGGATTGTTAAAAAGTTCCCGTTTTTTGAGGTCACCTTATATTTATGAGAATTTACTGATTCGTGATAGGTAAATATTTGTTATTTCATGTATAAGCGCTTACTTACTTCAAGGATAGATAAAAAATGAATAATTTATGTTTGAATCTATAAGCTATATATTGGTTGTTTATATTCGAGCTTGTGATCATTGACTTGGTAGGTAGCTCTTTTATAGCTTATTATCCCTCCTGCATAAAAAGAAATTCTCTCTGACCGAAAGGAAAAATCGGTCCGTTAGTCTGTTGTGAGAGTAAACAGAAATCCCAGAAAAGCTGCATCAACTACCTAATCGCAAACTGCACGAAGATAATCCATCAATAAAGAATCCAGTGTATTGAAAAATGGATTCATGTTTGCTTTTTTCCCCGTGGCAATATGTCGCCCACCCTTCCCTTGTGTCCATACACCAGGCCTTTTGTAGTTTTTCTTCACGCCCAGGGCAAACAGGGATCAAAACATATCGGCCAGTGAAGTTGTCCAGTCAGTGAACGACTGACCGAGAACTACCGTCATATGTTACATTTGTCACATACATTTTACAATTACGTTCACCCTGTACAAGGCCCAAGGTCCACTCAGAATAAGAGACACAGCTTATACGGATATGTGTGGAAGATAACGGTTAACTCTAGATTGGAAGTGGCTAATATTGTAATTATCAAGGAAGCAAACAAGGCAGTGGTTCGTGTGAAAAAGCGGCTCGAGTAGAATTTACATTTCACCAAAGCAATACAAAAGGAATAAGGGGATTTATTGCAATGTTCCTGGCATGGTGGGTCTTAGTCGTGAAGGTTAGGATTGGTGGAACTAAGGAATGCATTTCGTCTGTGTACTTTCTATGCAAAAGAGCAGAGAAACGTTTGTGACGCTTCGTCTGTAAGAAAAGGGCTTGTGAGGTGGGAAGTATTTCATCATTCACA